GCCAGACTAATGTTTACAGCAGGTTTTTATTTAGATCGTGAAATAAACCAATCGGGACTCAAGGTTATGAATTCAAATACAAATGAATTTCAACACTAAATTTAGGATGATAGGAAATATAATGCTTACATGAAATAAGGAACTGAATAAATACTTGAGCTATAATTTTTTGACATTACTAAAATGTTTTTCAGAATTCTAACCACCTAACCCAAGTTGTTACATCAGCTACCTTATAGAACCAACTTCTGTAAAAACCTGGTTTCCATCAACTTATTAAACAAAAAATTCCGTTTCGGAGTCCACAGCCTAATGGAGAATTACTTTAACTCGTTTGATTTTTTACATTTACAAACAAAGACGACCATAGACCAATCATTATTCGTAGCTAGTCTGTAAACGCCATATAATTTACTGGCTTGTAATCTTATTTTGGTATCATACACCTTCCCACAAATGATCGCATATGGCTTGTTTTACCTGTCTTCTATATGAGAATTTGAGCCAGTATGAAAGTGGGAGGTAAGAAAATAGAACAAGAACATCTAATAAAGTGCGGCAATCGGGCCATCAAAATCATGTTAGTGAGGTACGACTTTCCTACCTTCTGTCCGGCTAACAGTCACGTACTCACAAGCCTCTTGAGTTATCCTGAAATCATAAATGGGGAAGATTGCCTTTTCAAGAAAGAAATCAGTAAAGTTAAGTAAACTTGAAGAATCGCCGCAGTATACTTGTAAAATACTTATGAACCGAAAGAAGACTTACAATTGCAAGTGATGAATGTTCGGTTCGACATAAATGTTTGGTTTGGCTGGACACTTAAGTAATCTGGATTATTCTCGTGGTTTGTCATTATTTCGTAAGTTCATCTATCCAACTTTATTGCTGTTTTCTTCTTTTAGTGGAAATACATGAAACAATGTTCAACCTCATTGGAATATCCTTAACATACTACTCACATCAGCTGAAGATTATTCGTTCCTTTGCTACTTACTAACTCTATGGTGTCGTTTCGGACTTGTAGTTTACGTGGCATTGTTTGTTTTTAAACCATTTGTATACTTAGTATAGAAATATATATAACATTCATATGCAAAATGTAAAAGGTCTGAGGAATAGTAAGATGCCACTTAATTTCACTACTATTTTGGTGCTATATTTTTTAAAAATACAGTGACCCGGCACAATAAAGAAATTTTCCTCTTTTGTTTTTACCGTTTAAATACACACAAGACGTATTCAACAGACAAACAGTTTAGTACTCAAGGGATGGAATTTTATGTTTCAGTTAAAACTATAGATATGTAGTGGCATTGGGCCCTAACCACATAATCCTTAAGGCTGAACATTAGATAGCTGCGAAACTAGATATTCAATATTTAACGCGGAGAAAAACCCAACGATGGAGAAGGTGGGAAGAAGTGATTGAAGGAATTCGAATCTATCGTATGGTATTGCTCGGCCTTGTGGTCGTGGTCATTATTAAGTGTCAATATATACCTTTTATTCATACTAAATATATTGTTCTGTCTATAGCCTAAGTTTGTTCTCCGTTATATATTGGTGATTGTTTCGATGCGGTGAGTTGATGTAGACAATGATATAACTTCCACGTAAAATCCAATAGATTAGGCAGTTACAGCCGACCATAGTTCCACAGAAATCTCTGATGAATCCTTCCCTGGATTAATGACAAGTGAGTGATTAATCCGTGTTAGTTATCGTTAAAGTTTACAATTTTCTATAAACTCTCAAACAGTCAGTGACTTGTTCTTTAAGGTACTAGTAGTTTAGCCTAGGGATTGGTTTATCTGCAACTCAGTGACGTTTCAGTTACCCTTCAGTACCAATCATCAGATTCGAAGACTTTCCGAATCAATATTAAATTCACCAGGTGTGGACGTTCACTGGAATTCGATCCGAAAGATCCATAAGAATTCTAGGAACATCTGATAGATTAATCGAAAGAAAGTTAAAGTAACTGATCAGAAATGCAAATCATAATAAATCTGAGAATTATATATTTGTCGATGTGTTTAATGATTACGTACAAGTTGTTTCAATACGGAATAACTTAAAATTACGATAATAAACAATAATAAGCTTCTTAGTGCTCAGATAAGCTGTATTGAAAGAACTAGCATCAGGATTGAACCAGCAGTTTTTTCAGATAAGTAATATAATTATTTCGGTGAGATTAATGTTGATACAGTGGTAATACAATAAGTAAATCATCAATCGACTTCAATGAATGTGCCATCATTGACCTAAAGCTGAAAGGTATTCAACGCCACTAACAGATTTCTGTTTGTAAGTGACGAATGTTTTTTATATTTACATTTTAATAGTTAAATTCGTGAGTCGATTTAAGCCAAACCACCATTGGAAACCTGGGAGCTTCGTCCTAGTGTAGAAATCCTCAGCAGTGCATATCCACTGTGCCGCACGCTGGACTCGAACCCCAGGACATTCGATCTCACGCTGGTCACTTGACATCTAGACCGCTGAGTCGGCATCCAACGATGTTACAGTCTAACTCCAATCACATTCTGATAATAGTCATTTGCTCACTGGTGACTAGTTTCAGTATAGATTTCCTGGGGCTCTAGTGAGAAGCTGTGACCAGTGAAGTCCAATCTGTATCAAGCGGAGAGAGTTATCTGCCTAGGACAATAAATGAAGGGTTATAAAACTTATGACTGTTCTTACAGTCAGTAAGGGACATTGACAACGAATCGAAACCATAAATGACGATATGAGGTTGTCTCTACAAGATGATGAATGAGCGAGTGCTGCATTGTAGCTTCATAACTGAGCCGAAGAGATATGGAAGGGAGCACAAGAAACCTAGGATTGTTAATATGAACTCAAGTCGACGGTGCTTGTGCCAAACTCTGTCATTGTTAAGTAGATATGACAGTGGCGGTTACATTTTGCTGTAAATTTGTAACAGCATAGGTTGGTTACCTATAGGCACGAAAAATTCTCTGGACCTCACAAACTGATGAGTCGCGCGCGTGATTGAATCACCAGACCATTATTTGAACTGAACAGGTTCTAAATTATCGAGTATTTGGGCAGCTGATACATGTACCAAAAGCATCCGTTAGGAAACGGCCAAGAAGAAACAGTACCTCATACATTGGACAGTTACATATATCATTTGATCGACTAAATTAGTTTAGATATTAAAGTCGATTGAATCGAACATAATTCAGGGTTTTTAGGTCGCAATAATCACACATGATATTGAAAAACAGTTTTAAATTAGCTTTTAGGGTGCTGGAGAGCCGTTAGAGTGCTGAAAATAGCTAATGCTGCTCCATATAGTTCGAATCATTCATATTTTTGTACTTCCCACATCACGAGTACTAAATCATCGCATTATGATGGGCTACGTAATTTGACTTATAGACATAGTAGAAAATGACTCACCATTTATTGTTATGTCTAACGTCTAGTTTTACAACTTGGTTTGAACAAAATACACAAAGTAAAACATCAGAGTCAAATAATTGTACTGGTCCAGATGTCTGGCATAGTGTGATGGCGAAATAACATCGGCGTTATTGATGATACAGTTGTGTAAAACGTTTGTTTAGAGGAATAATTTCCATATCCGGCTTCGTAGATACAGACATGTATAAAGACTGTGGTTAGTTTTGTAAAGAACTATTGAGGTCAGATAGAAGTTTTCAAACCTATACTGCATATTAAATGCCGAACGCGAAATTAACATGACATTTGTATAGTAAGAAAGTTGAATTAAGGTCTAACTTGTGAGGCTACAGTAGGCACAAAATGGATAACAAACGTTATTTAACATGGTAGTCACCTGTGCAAGCGAAATTTTTGGGTTGAAAATAATTTAGTCATTTTGTAAAAGTCTGTTACAGAAGGTTTAATTTTTATCATTAAGTAACATATTACGTGCGATCATACAATAGTATCCAGTTGAGGTATACATTTTGACGAAACAGATATACATAGCTTCATCTAAAACGTGGCGAGAGTAAAAGAATATATGGCCATACTATCTGTGGAGTAGTTCCTTCATTTCATACATCAGTCTTTATGGCAACCATAGCTTAATAACTCTTTACAGTGTATAAATTTCAGAAGACAATAAGAAGCTATTATTATAGTTTAATATCGTACAGCGAAAATCGGAAAACCACCAAGCATATGGTGCGAATACAATAAAATGCGAATAAATGAATAATGTTCAGGAAGCTTTTGTCCATAACTATTAGAGTCACTGAGTGATTTATATAACAAACATTTAAGTTTGTAAGAGAAATGTATGGGCTGAGACACGTGTGTAAAAATATATAATCATACGAACATTTGAATAGTAGTTTTAGTACGTAAAACGATCGTTAAAAACAGGAAAGGCACATTTTCAGGCAAGCTAATGAGGCCTTAGTAAATCCGAACATATGCAAAATGAATTGTACGTGAAGAAGCTACAAACATTTTCCTGCTTCCTCATACGCAGATTCCTACATTAGGGCACCGATCACAAATTACTGCTAGAAATGGAAGCTCGTTAAACAGGCAACTCTTTTGTTCTGTCCTCAACCCTTTGAAACACTTAGATTTTCTAGAATTTGAAACGACATATATGACCATTCTTTATTCAAAACCCATTAGATGACTAGGCAGAGCATTTTAAATGATATTCGAACGCAAAACAAGCTATAAACGTCTTTGTGCACCATTATAGCATTTTAGGTAAAGAGTGTTTTATCATCTGATTCAAATAATATAGTTTGTTTAGTTGACTCGGAATAGCACAACTGTAAATTTACCGCCGTTTTGGAGATTTGTAGATCAGCTGCGACAACCATGTTGTGACAAGGTTTTACCCCTATTTTATACTCAATCAGGTTTCTAAAATTCCAAGAATCTAACAATTTAGTAGAGAAAAGTGTTTTAAAACCCTATTTTAATCATATTTATTCTTCTATACCAATTTGTTGGGATATCAGCGTGTTATGGATCTGGATCATCGCAACGGCTATCATCAGTCAGAAAACTCTCACAACCAAGGAAATGTGATTCACAAATGTGCGATGTATGAAGCAAAAAGGCCTTTGGGTGACCGCACTGTTCTGGGAAACTTAACAAATAGACAACGGGTAAATTTCATGTTTCATAACAATATGTTGTACTAGAACGATTCGGCACGTGAGGCATTTATTGGCTCCCAGTTCAATCCAAGTAAGTTGGTTCTGAAAAAATTTCGTGATTTATTACGTTCTATGACGAGAACGTGCAGTCAATATCATACACAACTGCCATTTTAGAGTAGTGTCCAGATATCCCAGTTTGTGGATATATGATTCACTCTTATTATGCATTTAGAAATACGTCAAAGTTTACTTGGGAAACAAATTCGTCTAAATTTTTGAGGTCGTACGAAGTAGATTACTAGTTCATAAAGTCACATCAGTCATTATATCATCCTCAGTCAAGAATAAAACTCAGTGACGTATAAAATTTAATGAAATTGTTTGTGGACTTACGTCATTTCAACTTCATAGACATTTCTTAGATAATTCTGGCAGCAATTGCATCATCATGTCAGTGTTCCACCTATTTTGGATAAAGTGATCGTCCAAATAAATGGTGGAGGATTTGTGTGTCATGAGCCTACAATAAATTTATTAAATGATGGTTCTCAACTAGTCAGTGTTATCTTATTGACTATGTTACGTGAGACGTCTGACAAACCAAGTAGTGGTTGATTTTCGATCTAGGGTTTTTTGGTAACTGAGACTAATTACTAAGTAACAGATAGTGATGAGCCCAATAGTAGTCTTTATGGATGCATTTTTGGCCGTAAAGTGCTGATTGTAGTTTCGTCAAAATAGCAGTTGTCAACGTAACGTCCTAAAAACAATTAAGAACTTAAAAAAACCCACTTATTAATCGTTTGGGGTAGTATCGAAACACGAAACACTAACAGTTACTACCGTCGCTGTGATCCTACCTTGACCTTGTTTACTTATGCAGAGTACCAATTTTACCCATTGATTCGTAAATGAAGTGTTTTTTGAATTAGCCTTCTGAAACAACTCGTTTGGCAAGCATAGGTTTAATGTATTCAGCTACAAAACATTGTGGCGGCTTGTGGTGTTTACACTACTGAAACCGAGGTAGTTGAAGTGGGGTTCAAGCATGCGACCAACTTGTTAGTATGCAAGTGTTTTTATTAATAACTAAATCGGGAACAGAGTCTTTAGAGGTTCTTGAACGTATGTTTCGATTTCCCCAAAACCGTCTTTTTTGACTATATATCAGTCCAATTTACAATGTGAGACCATCACGGGTCATTTGTCGTTTTTAATACTTAATAGTCAGGAACTAGATGTAAACTCCCTCCGATAGGAGAGTGGGTATTTATTTATTTATTATTTATTTATTTGAACACAAGTATTGGTATAAGGGGGCACCAAATATATATGCGCCACATAAAACAATGAGAATGGGAAGAGGAAAAAGAAGGTAAGGTGCGTATTAGGAAAAAAGAACAATAACGACCTCAGATTAGTGTAAGGTAGTGTAATAATAATAATGGGGGAAACGGAAAGGTACAGTTAGAGGAATTCTTTCAGTTAAGGAAGATACAACCACTTTTCATGAAGAAAGTAGGTTACAGCAGGATCGCCACTGGCTTCTATTCTGAGCTATATCTGATAACGTCTCTAGCCACAGTAGTCTTTAACACATTTGTATAGGTCATCTAGAACAACAGTTGAATGGTAAACGAATGACTGCTCTTACTCTGCTTACGTGGTTTGGGAAGATAGCTGGAGATGTTCTTTGTCAGATCTTCCCTTAATTGACTTGCATTAGTCTGTCTTCAGCGGCCACTACACAACTAAAAAGACTCCCAAGTTTGCAGCCTTTGAGAACAGGATAAATCTGTATAATTGAAAAAAGGGTGGTATCCTGTAGTCATTAATTTGAAATGTACTTGTTGTCATTTGAATCATCATCTTTCTGAACACAAATCAATCATACTTAGTTTACCATTAACAGTCGTAAAACCAGTAAATACAAACAGTAGTATGTTAGCAGTTATGCAAATTTTTAACAACGTTTAATCCTAACTACGATCTAAGTACAGTTAGTTTTTGACTTTGACAGTAAAGTAGTTCGTTTTGTCAAGATATCAGCTTCAAAGTATTGAAAATTATGTGGTAAGGATATGTTACTGAACACATTTCCTCAACTTCGGATTCGGATTTTCTTATATGATTGAAAGTCCAATGATCTCAGTATGGATACTGTTAACATATAGTCTTGGTTGTTTGTTAAAGCTGACCCAATACCATTCCAAATAAATTTAAACTGCTAATAACATTTTGTAAGCAATGAATGATAGTGGCTAGCAGTGGAATCCAGGACGCGCGTTTCGTCCTTTACACACAGTATGCACATATGCCAATAACAGACTGATCAATTGCAGTCTTAAGCCTCAATCGGAAGATACAAGCCAAACGATACCAATTGCTAATTACATTTTATATAAAGATTACGTTGCTAACAATACATTTGTGTAATTGGCACCATAAACTACATATTTGGTTATATCAGCAAATGTTTCATCTCTTTCCAGATTCTACTCAGGGTTCATTTTGTGGCTAATCTTTCTAACATTCTCTGAGGATAGATTAAGTTTTAGCGTAGGTACATCAACCCTGTACAGACTCTCTTGAACACTATTGGCTGAGCCAAAGCTTACGAGAAATTGTCATTGGGATTGGTGACTTCAAGTTGTGTTCGTCAGCATTATCGACTTTCATCATTTTTATTTAACCTTGTCATAGATATTCCTTTAGACATAACTCGTCGTCTAACTTCAGGAACTGGTCTACCAGGAGATCCGTTTTTGACTTAGAATACGCAAATGATATAGTTCCGTTTGGTGAAGACACGGACAAAATGCATAGTCTTCTGACTACCTAAAATACTAGTGCTACGATGTTTGGGATGCGTTTCTCTCCCTCCAAATGCAAAATTTTCTTTCAAGATTTGTCTGCGTCAACCCCTGAATTAATGATAGGGAGTAAAGTAGTTGAGTATGTAGACCACTTCGTTTATCGTGGAAGTCACGTCACCGCTAATGGATTTGCCTAATGAAATTTCGGCGTGGATTTTAAAAACTGGGTAGTTCTTTGCCGAATTGGTTAGAGTTTGTATGGTTTCCGTAACCAATAACTAAACACTAGATGACAATTCAATTTACTTTTTGTTTTCCCTTAGATCCTAAGTTCCTAGCTTCTTCACAACCTTTTTATTCCACTAAGTTATATTCTTTCGAGTCGTATATTCGATCATCAATTTTCTATGTTACTATTGTCACTGTTTCTACCTCTATTTACCGTGACAATTCCATCTCGCTGTGCTAATGAGGTATTGGAAATCGAACCAATGTCCATACTTACCAGGCACTACGTTGCGCTTAACTGACTAAGTGGACAGCCGGGCAGTATCCCATCCCACACACAAATCATTCATAATTACTGCTGGACAGGTTTTCCTTGCTTCAACGCTCGCTCAGACAATCTATATTCACAATCATTTGGTAGCATTCGTTTTCATTTCCTTCATACTACGTCAGTTGTGTACTCCCCTTTATTCTCATTTTGCGTATTTTCTTTTTCAACTTATACAGCAGCTCGCTTATGGTGGAAATCCTGTCCTGTTTAAATGGTCTGAAGTCTTTGACTGGTCGGAAGTTGAACACTACCATCGACTAAGAGTACTGAACCAATCTTTCTGAAACCACGTAAACCCTTCAAACTGGCCCCCTTCAACGTAGCGATAATGAGTTATGGCAACTTGAACCGATGCATATATGTGATTAGTCCTACGTTTTAGCTGACTGAACTTTCTCACACTAATGCGGATCGGACTACAGGTAGGGGTGGCTATGTCTTTTGAATGTCTCAGCATCGATATCTGTCGTCTGTTCCGGATCCGTATTGAAGACAAATGAAGTACTACGAATTCACTCTCCGTCACTTCGAAAAGCTTGTTTCACGTACGTTTATCCGGGGACCCTGCGGCACTTTCGTTTAGTTTTGCGGGCGTTGGTATCGCACTAAGCTGTAGATATCAGAGAACACTAATCGGTTGGACCCTCATTCACAGTCATTCATGTGCTGTTAGGTTAGGAAGCTCCATCAAAGTGCGAAGAAATCAGTGGGAAACAATGTCTTTTCGTCATCTTTGTCTACGCCTGGATACAGAAAGTGCGTTTGACAGATATTGTAGTACCAGTCGCGGACTTGAATACATAGGTCGGGCGTCTAGGTAGAGAGGAGAGTCGTTTGGGTGGCCAATAAGGACTTATTCGTCGCAAATCAGATAACAGTGACCGTCCACTGCATCTATCTGTATCACGTGTAGTCAGTCAGTCAGCTACAACTTAGGATCAGGCACATATATGCATCGGTCCAAGTTGCCATACCTTATTAGCACAACAAGATTAACACCAAATTCATAGAAGCAGTTACTTCAATGGCAGTAATATATAGAAAAATCGCGTGTTAGAATATTATACAGGGAAAAAGAATTAGTTCGTGAAAAGAAATGTATAAAGTAATTTTAATCTCACGTTTTGAGGGAAGACATAGAATGTATACACTTACTCCATTGCGATCGATCCTGAGCCATGTCGCCCAGAGTCTCCAACTACTGGTTGCAATAGTCACGCCGACCCCGACCCAGTAGCCTGCATTTACCAACATGGTTCATACCAAAAGTTGGAGACTTCAAGGACTGATGCCAAGTTTTGGTTTGGCCGCCCTTAATTTCCGTTTGTCTCCAAGGCTAGTCAGCATTGCGCGTCGTGGTATTCGGTGTTTGGGCATGCGTAATACGTGACTCAAACATCTCAATCGATATAGGTTCACAACCTCACCAACTGATTAACCATCATTCTCTAATACCCTGCGTTTAACCTCACTGTCACTTGCCCTGTGATCCCAGCAGATGCGAGCAATATTTCTAAGACATTTGTGATCAAGTGCTAGTAATTTACGGGTATCCTCTACCCTTAATGGCCACGCTTCGCAGCCGTAAAGTAAAACAGAATCAAATGCTACGCAGCATACTCCTCCCTTAATCACAACTTTGCTCAGACTACAACCTGTTTTCAGCTTGCACTAACTATGGACACAGTCATCGTCGATGTGCTAACTGGTGTTTTGCTTCTGCATCTCAGACCTGAACTCAGACTAATCACATCGTGATCAGCTACTTTTGGCGCGGTCGTGTTCAAGACTACCACTCCTTTTCGAGTAGCCATCTGAATTCTGATCATGGCCTTGTTTGCGCTAATCTAACCTTACATTTCATTGGGCAATAAATTTATCGTCCTAGACGGATTGATGTCAGCAAATCGGTTGCAGCTTCTATTGCAACTAAATATCAAACCAAGATAGGTTCAAGGTTAGTTACCAACTCGCCGAAAAGTGTAGATGAGCGTTGGTTGAAATTTCATGACACCATGAAAATGGCGAGTAAATTCGCTTGTGGCTTCACGAAACGCCTCGCTTATAAGCACTGGATTTCTATGGGCTCCTCATAGTTCACTGACGCACGTCAGTTGACTCCGGCTGACTGCGAGTTGGACCACAAACGAAGATTGTTACGTAGTGAAATTGTGCAAAGTTTACGTAAGGACCGAAAAGCCTAGTGGTCAAAGCGTGCCAATGAGTTGGAAGAAGCAGCTGCATTTGGTAAAAGCTGAAAGCTCTTTCAACTCATCCGAGTCACTGGTAGTAAGACATCTGGTGTGAGTGGAACAATCTGTAAAGTTGACGTGATGCTGATCACCAACATCAATCGACGTCTTGGACGATAGGCAGAGTTTTCTGAGAACCAATTCAACTGGTCTGCTGCTCCGGCGACATCAAGCAAACTGTTCTGCCCTCCATGGCGTGTGGTGACTTCTCCACCTTGTTCCTGAATTGCCACAAATCACCAATCCCAGATGACTTGACTCCGACTTTTAAGAGATGATGACGACTTTTTGGTCAAAGAACTGACTGAGTTATCTACAAAGGTCTGGTAATTAGAAAATATCCCAACATCATGGGATGAGTTGAAAATTGTACCCATCTTTAAAAAGGGTTCATTTCGTTCTTGCAACAACCATCGGAGGACAAGTCTACCTCCGATAGTGTCCAAACCATTAGCTTCCGTCATACTTCGTAGATTGTTCAAAACCTGAGAAAGATTGACTTGTGAGGAACAGGCTGGTTTTCGTCCTGACCGATGATGTATCGTTCATACCTTCACCCATCTGCAAAATGTTAGAACATCGTCATACTAATTGCAAGCCAACAATAGTAGTGTTTCATGCCTTTTGGGCCTCCCTCGATTCGTTGGACAGGACTTCTCTGGGATTATCTATTTTAGAAGGATGTGCCTAAGAAGTTTATTAACATATTGAAAGCCCTATCTACTAACTCCTCCGGCTGAGTGGAGGCATATAACCACCTCTCCACTGTTCCTTTTAAGCAACGAGGACAGGCAGAGTTGCTCAATCTCACCATTCCTCTTTAACTTTGCCATCGATGGCGTTCTGGAAACAGCTTTGATGAATGTAGGTAAAGGTGGTATTGAACTGTTACCCGGAGAAAGACTTTTCAACCTTGAGTATGCGGATGATATTATCTTTCTGTGCGATGATACCCGAGGAGGTAGAAGTAATCGAGAATTTGGTGTACCTGAGTAGCTGCGTAAGTGCTGGTGGTGGCATGAGTTATGAGGTCAATCCACGCATAGTGAGAGCCTAAACGGTTTATGCCGGTCAGGGCTACCTTTGGCTCCTTCGTGATGTTAGTCTAGCTGTAAAAGGTTGGATCTACAATGCGTCGGTGAAAGCAGTTCTGCTCTATGTTTGTGAAATCTAGCCTCTCCAAGTTGAGGCTCTGTGTTTGATCATCGCTGTCTCTGAAGGATTGTTGACACCCAGTGGCAACACCATGTTAGTAATGCAGACGTTCAGCATCGTGTGTTCAGGCGCAGAGACGATAATGCAATTGATGTCACCATCTTGAATCATCGACTTCGGTGGCTTGGACATGCTCTACGAATTTCGTCCCAGAGAATTCCATGTCGTGCATTATTTGCCGACTCTGGGACTGGTTGGAAGAAGCGGAGAGGTGGCCAGTGTATGACATAGTGTCAGGGTGTGAAAGAAAGCCGCAAAGAGCTGGCGTCTGTTGGTCCTTCACGACTCCCCGGTTGGGGTCATAGAGGTGGTGCAACATAAGGCTACAGGTGTTATCACACATGATTCAGGATAAAAACTAGTGGCAATCTTGCTGTAACTTTCTTTTACTTCATAAAAGTAAACGTAACTCCAACTAAAAGAATTTCTGGCTGTATTTTCACTAACTGAACTGTTTCTGCAATCATTATTTCACTCTCACACACTAATTTCTATTTGTTTTTTTTATACGCTATTTATATTCTCTTCACAACCTCATTGCGTTGCGCGTGTGTATTTGGTGTCCCCTCGTACCAATCTTTATGTGTTCAAATAAATGATTTTTTCTTTTCACCATATCCATTTTGTTGAAAATCGTATGTTAGTGTTTCATCTGAACACTTTGATGTCCACCGACATTGATATTTACAATTGCTAACCTTCTGTTAAATCTTAATATAAGCTACAATGCTAAAAGTCTTATTTTGTGTTTATCTAAATCACTAACATTATCATACGATATTTTTAAACGGATGAAATTGTCTGAGCCATCCGTAAAGCGAATTTTACAACTAAAATACCCTACAGTAAATATAGAGTTCACTAAAAACTGCAATCCCTAAAATATTATTTATTAAAGCATACACTCATCCAATTTGTTCAAGAATTTTTTTGTTAATATTCAGTAATTTATTGCTAGTCCACATGTTGTGAAGTTGTCGACTTAATCTAGTTTGTTTTTGTTTTCGAAACTTTACTAGTTCACAAAAATTGCAAGTTGATAAATGCAGAAGCTAAATACTCATCAATAGTTTCAGCTACATTGGGTCATGGAGATTTGAACTCAACATCAAGTGCAGATAGTGGTTATGGCAGCATAAACACTGAATCGATTGTTGTGGAATCCAAACTTACATCCAAATCGTTAACACAATCACTTTTGTGCTGTAAATCATTGAATTCCGAACAATCAATATCAAAACGACCTCGTTATGATGAATCTGATACAACTTCCCAGGTAGAAGTATCTTGCGTTGATGAAGATTCAGATGATGATAGACGACCATTTGAATCAAAGGTGAGTATTCTATGTAGTTTTATTGTTCAACATGAATTTGTCTAATGACTTTTAATTTTCTTTGATGTACATAAATCAAGCTCAACAAAGTGATCAGAATATTCCAACCGTCATACTTTAGAAGCAAGTAATATCATTTTACTCTGCAACATTTATGTTTGATTCATCCAGTTTCAAGGAGGTTTAATTTTAGTTATGAATTAATATTAGTTAGAATGTTATTGTAACAAGACGAAATTGATTTGTTAAACATTTATAACTGACTTTATCGTATTCTTTAACAGCTGGCTTGTGATATTGTTCGAGCTGCATTTGCTGATCGTGTTCAGTTGGAAGAACTTTTAGCAGAATGTAGAAGGGCCGATTTCGCTATTTCAGCCTTGGATCGCTCTCCGGTTGATCGCATGATGGAAGCTACAGACTATATTGTTGGGATAATGGCCTATGAACAAACAAGGGAAGCAAAAGTAAGATTCTATCTAAAGAGGTTACTAATCAGTGTTATAATGTGCTGGTTTACTGTAATCAGTATAATACACGCCCTCATGATTCTAATCAATCAGTAATTAATATTCTGCCTTTGAATAGCCTCTTGAGCACCAGATAACATTTTTAACTGTTATTTTTTCTAATTAAACACTGTCCAGTGCATTTGTTTATTTATTATATTTTAGGAAGATTTTCAAGTGAATGATTTTTTGGCTGCTGGTAAACAACCTAATCTCAATGCTGATATGTTAACAACACTAGCCGATTGGCTAGTCGAGGTTCAAGAAAATTTCGCATTGAATCATGAAACAATTCATTTGGCTTGGGGTCTTTTATACGCGTTTTTAGATCGTGGTCAACCACTGGCTCGGTAATTTTTTCATCCTATATTACATTACTTACTAAAAACTTAATTTTTTTGACAACAGCTTTTGGATTTCCCGTGAAGTTTAGTTGTAGCTAAATTGTGTACAAACGTATCAAATTCACATCTAAACGTGTTGTTGGTTCTCAGTGTTATAGCATAACATTCGAATAATTAACGTCCTTAAATGAAAATAATGTTTTAGTCCATTGATTTCGATTGTCTCAATAATTACATTCAATCATTCATACTAGTTAAAGCGTGAATAGTTTTGTAAAAAAAAACATGATCCTACGTTAGAGGATTTACATTGAATTGGTTTGATCCGAATAGGTTTTTTATCGGTTTTCAAAAAACTCTAAGAGTATTAACAAAATAAAACCTGAGCTCACGGATTTACTATTTCAACTAGTTAACATAATTGTTATTTTATGCCAGTTTAGATGTGCTTTTTTGTCATTGTGTCAAATTTGTGTGCTTATCCGGCTCTCCAAATTATTCTATAATTAACCACGTATTCTCACTTGATTTCATGTTTAAAACCTTGTTCAACGTAAATCTTACCATAATTATCAATAGTAATTGGAAACTATTACAAGAACATACTGTTTAGATTTTGCCTTTGCGAGCTTGTCAAAATCTGTAATATGAATTAGCCATATTCAGTGATATTCTTCAGGACTGCTCATTGTCTACACTATTATCCAACTTCATTATAGACATTCCTAGATATGTTTTTGATTGAGAGCCTGAACAAATTAATGTTATACCACTATTGGAAACCTGGAGGCACTGGACGGCCGTTTCTTTCTATTTTGGAACTCCTCAGTAGTGCGCGTTCACGATGCCGCTCGCGAGATTCGAACCCAGGGCCGCCGGTCTCGCGCGCGAACGCTTAACCTCTAGACCGCTCAGTGGGAATCCAACGGTGTTAATATCTAACCTCAACCAATCCACGAAATCGTGCAACTATCTTCCACTTTACTGAAGTACATACCTATCACTACCTGACATGGATTAGCCCCACTTCTCAATGGTGGCATAACATCAGTTCGTCCATGATCTCAATTAAATACATAGTAACCTCCACAACCCCATACTAGTGATTCCTAGATACGTCGTCCTTCGTCTGAATCTTTCTAGACTGACCTCCTACGAAGAGATTCAGTTGTTGAATTATTTTGCCAATTCATTCTCAGATCTTTCTTACTATCACTGATACTACCACTTTCACCACTCCGTTGCTTATCTTGATAATTTCATCCCTCTCTGCTGATAAGGTTTAGGAATGTGGTCAGGTAGACGGTTGTGGTAGGTTCTTACGTTTGTTATCAGTGATCGGCTGAGTACTCTATATCGAATCTAAGTACTGTGGTCGCATTCAGAATTTTATCTACATAATATATCCTGTAATTTCAAGCCTCTGCCATATTTGTTGGTTCTTCAGCTTTTTGATGTATAGAGTTTGGCTGACTTTTTTTTCTTCTATGAATACTACAGGCGTGAGATTCAGTTAATGGCATGTGCTGCAATCATGGTTGCTTGCAAACATGAAGAACGACAAATGCCTCATCTGAATGAATTTTTGTACATAACGGACAACGCGTATACAAAAGAAGAATTCATTGAAGCTGAACGCCGTCTACTGATAGCGATCGATTTTGCTGTACATCGTCCAAATCCTTATGTTTTTTTGCGTCGTTATGCTAGGGTAATTCATGATTTTGTGACTTGTTTTATAATAACAATTAGTAGTTTGTACTATCATATTAGTTTTTATCTTTTAATTGACGATCGGATAATGCTCATATTGACCAGTAGTTGTCGGTCAGGAAGAAAAGGTAGGGGCGATTAGAGTGATTTGTGATACTGGCCAGTGAAGTTCTCTCAAATGCCCTGTCATGGCTTAAAGTGTGGCGAGTCAGCTCTCCCTCTTGAAATGCTCTCACATGGCCACATGTATACAGCCACTATCAGGGGAGTCCCGCTCACTGCCTTCTCACGATGGGGTGTGTTTTTAACGAAATTGAAAGGACGAAAAGCGGATGTCCATCGCTCTAACCTGGTTGGTGGATATGTAGGACCCCCTAGGGGAAAATCCCGACTCCAAACCAATGGTACATATGGGTTCCAGGATCCTGAGGGAACAAACGGCGTATGAATCAGTCGTTGGTCATGGGTCACTACGGGACTGCATCTCCTGATGTTGCTCCACTGCATTGTGGATCACACCTTTAGGTCGAAGGCTCTGAGTGTGACCCCCTAATAAAACCACCTGTTTCGGTTTGGGCACCCGGAGAGTATCCCAGCCCTCACACAAATCGAATGATGAAGTGTGGTGATTACATGTCTGGTGCCTCCTCTTACCAATATTTATGTGTTTATATGAATAAAGAAACTGTAAGGCGATGGATAAAAACAAAATTTCTAGAACAGTTAACCCGTAAATGTTTTACTGCACTTCATTTATTTTTCCCTGAAATGCATCTGTTCCTTTTCTGTTCAAATATTTTTCTCCATTTCCCTTGGTTTTCTCTCTTAATAGTCTTCCGGTTGTGGCAACTTAAACAAACACATCATTTTTTTGCATTGTCTCTGTAGATTTATCTCTAACTGGCACTGTTTATAAAACTACTAGATCGTTAGTCACTAGACTGGTTACTGGTTCAATATTTTGATCTCCGTTTTTTCATAGATTTACGCAGTTGTAATTACTGTCTGATAAATGAATAAAAATAAGTAAATACAGATATATTCATTATTTAAATTGAACCGTATGAATATACAATTGTCTACTAAATGGAATTTTATACATTACTCTATTTGTTATTAAGAGGATAATCTCCCTTTGAAATTGTCTAGGTTTTAGATGCACATAGTGGGCCAGTTCAGTTCACATCACGATTTCTTTTGGAAGCTGGTATGCACAGTCATACTATTAGTTTGAAACGTGAGTCGCGCAAAGCTGCAGCTGTATTGTGGCTTGCTCGAGTTGTTCTTCGTAATCCGGCTTATGCTGACTGGACACGCAGAGCTGATGTACATCAACTTAGGCACTTGATACAAAACAATCCTTTAGCTCAAGCATATTATGCTCATTGTCGAAATCAGAAGTCTAAGATAACCAACAACAAGGACAATGCGCGATCAAGATTAAACCAAATTGTTACAGCCAATGCAGATTTATCAAGATCCACTTACGATCTGTCTGCTACGAATTCATGTGACAATGAATGTTTCCAGACTAAATTCACCGAAAAGACTTCGTATGGCTTGTCTACAGCCTGGTGAGTTCATATTATGTTTGTTTTTTATGTAGTAAATACTATATATCTACTGCAATAGTATAGACACTTTTCTGCATTTTCATAGAATATTATCATCTTTAATTAGGTTAACTATTTTTCGTATTGCACTTGGTAATGCGACTTATACTCAAGCAATCTGTTGTTATTTAAAGTTCATCAAAAGGTGTTAAGAACATATCTCCAAATGTAAAAGTTAAGAACTAATCCAATCTTGATATAACACACTACTTAAGCGCTTTATAACTAAGATTTTTAGGAGAGGATAATAACTTGGCTACACAACTAATTAATAAAGAAAAAAGGATGGTGGACACTAAAACGTTAGTACCATTTCTTGTATATCATTTAAGGATGTTTTTTCGTCTTTGTCTGTTAGTCGAGCTAGGTGATATACCTTAGTACATCATTAGTCAATGGTAAGTTGAATTTATTCGTGGTCTGTAAACTTGCAAAATAACAATACGTAATTGGTCGATGCATCATAGAATTAGCGTTTACACATTGTTGACGGACATAGTTATCGTTATTCTATTGGATACAATTCAACGCGACTAATGGGTGTCGTACATTTTCTACTTCTCTTGGAGTGACAATAAACCACCGGAGATTCAATATGGTTATCATTTGTAAAAAAATATTCGACCACTCAAATGCGGTTTACTAGTACACCATTTAGGGATATTAGAAAAATGTAAACAACTTGAAATCTAACCCAAATGTTTATCGATTCAAATTACCAATCTTCACATTAGCATAACGAAAGCAAACTACAGCTTCACCTACCTAGCAGTTGCGGAAGTTCTGCGTTACGTTGTTGGTTTCGAGATCGTACCTTTTCATAGTCTTGATATGCAATCAGATGTGTTTAGAGATTATTAATATTAACTGCTAGGAATTGCTGTGGTAGTTCTCCATCCTTTTTTAATTCGATTTTGTCACACCTATATATATATATATATATATATATATATATATATATATATATATATATATATATATATATATATATATATATATATATATATATATATATATATATATATATATATATATAGTATTTAACAGAAATTGTGTACATAGCTAAATATATTGGGTAGTTAGTAATAGGATAAAAACAAATGAATGTTCCAGAACTACATTGATAGACATATTCGTTTGAATCAATATAATGCTTATGGCTAATTGTAATGCGGCTAATCCCTTTATTATACTCCTCTAAAGAGTAACATCATAATCTTAAAGTTTAACATACTTTATTCACAAATTTTTACGTCCATTATATATGTGGTAAATACTACAAGAAAATCTTGGATTGTTTTCTCTTTTATCTTATATAGGCAAGTATTTTTATATCTGTACAGAAAAGACAATTTTATTTTCTATTTATTTATTTATGTGACGGAATTTAAATGTAAAAATGTTTTCAAGTGTTTAATGTGAATTGTTTTGGGCATCAATGTAAAAATCTCAATAATTTCACAGATTTCCTTGATGTTTAACAGATTTCAATTAGTTTTTCCTAATATTTTGAGTATAGATTCTAAGTTGTTTGTTTCATTGATTATCTGTAACTTGTATGAAATGATACATACTCTGGTTGTGTAATATTCGCTCATCACAATTTCTCTTTATGAACTCTTCTCTTCCCTTTAGTGATAATTCTGACGAGTCATCCAATGAAGGAAAATACACAAATTTCTCAACACTTATACGTGCACCTCATTCCACACCGAGTGGTCATAACCATCATATGTCAACCTCTGTGATTGATTCTTTCTCTGAAAACCATATATTTGACGGTTTAGATCCTTCTATTAAATCGGATCTCGAAGCGCTGAGATTAGAGGAAGAACAACGTCAACCATTGTGGCCTCCAATTTTGGAGCATATCACAGGTTATAAAGAAGCTAATTTAATTCCGCTAGCTTTACGCTACCATGCAATAGCTTTAAGATTAATAGCTGAAGTTGCTCGTGGTGGACATTTGGCTGTTGCCAATGCCATTACATCTGATCAACCTACCAATTTAAGTGTGAAACAAAATAATGATGCAAATGTTCATATGATCGACGTTGATGTGGAGGATCCATCTAATCCGCAGAACTCACGTTGTGTATCACCCGGGGGCCATTATTTGCGTCGCCAGTCTGTTACTAAATATTGTTCAAGGTAAATTAATATTTTCTATGTGTAGTACATGCTTCTAAGTTATTTAACAATTTTAATTTTCAATTGAAGTTCATTAATACAAACCTGGTTTGTATAGAGCGGCCTGTTAGATTGTTTAGAACAAGTGTTGTTTGAGATCCAACTGAGGAAATTTGTGACTCAGGTGAATAATTTTGGTGGTTGATCACGAAGCATATAAATTTAAATGTAATAAAGTTCTGTTTTACTGTAGGGTGGTTGTATTAATTTACTGTTTTTAGAGGTTACTTAACTTACAACGTAGTCAATAGTTGGTTGAACGTTGAATACTTTAACCCCTAACCACCGCTTCACAATTAATAAATATAGAAGCTTAACTTATATATAGTCTAATAGCTTAGTGTGCTTCACCATAAAACTGATGGCAGTTCTGAGACTTTTTCCACTCTACATTAAAATACATAAACGATAAAATTGCGAGATTTCATCGCTGCTAACAATTTCGAATGTAGCTAATGGGTAAAACATGCTAATCAGGTGTGTTATATTACTCTCAAAGCTCAATCGTCATGGTTTCCGCACTCTGATATTGATAACATAAACTGCACACTTTAGTTCGATCTAAAAAGTTAGTTTTTTCAACGCTTAACGTAATCCAATACACGAACCTACACACAGTATTTGTTTTTCTATACCGTTAAATATGTTTATTACTTGCTGATAATTTTTAGATCAAAATGTATGCTGTCATTTCGTTTCTGAATTTCAATTATAATAAAGTGTCTATTTTATCTTCCAACATTTCTTACCCGTACGCGTTTTTTCCTGTTTTAATGCAGTGCATTTTTGAGTGTCGCTGATGCCTATCCTCAATTGTCATTTGACAATTTTGTTCCATATTTCCCATCTATCCAATGCGCAGAAACATGTACGTGCTTTGTTTGTACAAATCTTATTCGTCGTTCTAATTAATCACTACCACTACAACTCCAACTAATTCTTCCTACTGCGTATATATATATAATTGTCTTTCGTATGCTTGTATGTATTTTATTCCTCATATTATTTTGGGAGGTGAATTAAATTATTCGGTATTCGTAAAGTGCTAACGTGATTTTTTCATTGGTCATCTCTGAATTCTTCTGTATTGAAGCAGAAACATGTTCTTTTTAATGTCTTTTCCTTCTTTAGTTTTCTTTTTAATCTATATTATTTATTTTATATGTATTAGTCATAATTATTATTGTGGTTTTTTATAGCAAACTAGGATTTTCAATTTTAAGGCACCATTATATGTGGACCGATGCATATATGTGTCTGGTCCTACATTGTATCTGACTGACTATTATATTCAACTAAACAAAAAAAAAGCTGAAATTTCGCTGTGTTGTTGTACTTTTTATACGTCCATACGATCTTTCCAATTTTATGTTAACAATGTATACATACAAATTATGTTATTACTGATGATTTTGTGTATTTCCACATATATGTTATACGTCGAATTGAATTTAAAATCCTACCATAAATAATAAATAAAACTCAAGTATGGTGAAAGGAATCTGGTTCATTTAGTAATTAATGAATCCAGTATTTGCATTTCATCAAATTATATCTCTTTGTCAAATGTTTTACTTCATTTAAACTTATGTTTATGTGTAACGCATGTAACACTTATTTATTCGTTTTTGGAGTGAATTATTTCCCATGGTTCTATACAAACATTTGTGAAACATGTCCCATTATTGTGACATTTTTCCGTATTTGTTTTAATCCAACAATAAAGGGACTAAAAAACAAGAAAAAATAATTCAGTCTTGATCAACGAGCCTCGAACATAAATGTGCGTTTGTCTAAATTAATTTATTACAGCAGCTCGTGAAGAGGAGGTTAGCAAAATTAGTACTAAATCAATCGAAATAATCGTATTAGCAGTGGTAGTGAAGAAGACTAAATATTGATAATAGAGTTCAAGAAGGTCAACTGAAAAAAAAGCTAGGATTCGAGACCTGTAAGATTACAAAGAATGAGTACTACCTCTGCGTCATTTTGATCATTTTTGAACCATTTCTCTTTGAGCCTCCTACCACTCCTCGTGGAAATTGCCCGAATCCCCCACATCAATTAGTGTATTAACTGATTCCACGTTTTGGTTTGGCTGGATTGTTAATCTTCGTAATACCTACTTCAGCGATATACAACGAGTTAGCAGTGGTTGCATGCATATTACACGTGCCGGCCATCTCGGTAGAAATTTACAATCTTACGCCTAGTACTGTGCATCTATCATCACCGGTCGCACTTTGGTTCCACTGTATTTGAACATTGCTTTAAGGACCCCTATAGTCGAATAATAGTAACCTAGGAATGCTGTTTACTCCTGAAGACTACGTTTTACAACTATAAAATAAAACAAATCAAACTGTTACATAAAATTCTCGTCCTTTAGTTGGTGGACGGTCATCTCATCTAAACCACAGATGAGGCAAGATAGAAATAGGAAGTGTCCTTCCTAGATTCCGAGGCAATGTGGTCGACGATACTAATTCCTTCAGTTCTTATCATCAGTATGTGCGGTGACACAAACAGGTCATGGGTTACCATTTTACATACATCATGAACATAATTGGATGACTGAAACTGTTCTGTTCAGCATCATTGATTACGATTGTCGTCTACGTACTTCATCTCGATTAGTGAGTTCAGAAAACACCAGTGCCTGAAGAGTTTGGTTGAGAAAATGAAATTTCCGGCACGAGACGGCCGTCCAATGTTTCCAGGTTTTCCATAGTGGTCTAGCTTCAATGGACTCATGATCTTAACGATTGAAATTACCATAACATCCACAAAAACCCTTCCAATAAATATTTATTTAGGTGATAGCATGTATGCTTTCAAAACGTACGATTGAATTTCCACGAACTTCATTTCAACCGAAACTTAGTTATAAAATTATCAAGATTTCATAATTCTGTCAGAAGAAAGAATCTAAGTCTCAGATTCTTTTCATGTTTGTTGTGCATTAACCCATAGAGTAGATCTGAAATCGAAGATTTAAATGATAATCCAAGTATCTTCTTTATCATTTAAACTGATTCCAAACTTTCATAAAGACTTCAATCTTAGTAAGACTGCTTTGTGAAGCAGAAAACCACTAAAAATATCAGTTATTATGAACTGTCTTAAAGGAAATTACGAAACTTGGATAGTTGGATGGATTATAGAGATTCATATATATTAAACAACTATCCTGTCGACATCGTTTCATGATGAAAACTGTCTTCCAATTAAACTGATCTTTACATACCACCCACATAAATAATTGTACACAATTATTAAACGTGTTATTGAATGACGAATGGAGAATATATGAATTAAGTTAGAAATGGTGACAAACGCATCTCCTTAGTGATTGAGTAGTATGGTGGTAATTATGAGTCCAGAAATCCACTGTAGAATTGTCTGTGCACACGTATTTAGTGATCTTCAGTTGGGTTTAGACATCTGTTAAGTGTTGATTAGTCTTCACCAGTTCTTTAATCAATGTCAGCCATCCGTTGTTATCATGGTCAATCTAGATTCAAGTGACCAGATGAATAGTCTCATTAGAACTGAAGATTACTCAATTATATGATTTGGAGAAGCTTCTCAGCTTTTAATATATTCACCAAAATAAATTAATTCAATATATTAGCAATAATAAAACTTTATCCCACACAATTTGTCTAGATCATCTGACTGATATTCAGCATAAGAAGGACAAAACACAAGGTATTTTATAATCCTTTTCTTTTATTGATAATGGGCGTTTCCCGTTGTCATTGTTTGAAAGATATACTCATTCTGAAAAAAAAATCGCTAAAGTAGACTTATTTGATTTAAACACTGCTGTCTAAAAAAATAACAACCCAATATTCAGCAGTTTTTGATGACTTTTGTTGTAAACTTCAGTCCACGGTAATGACACTAACGCACGTTCTGCGTACTACACAATAGTCACTCGTTTCCGAACCATCAATCACAATGACTACTTTGAATGACTCGTATTATACACAAATTATACCAATTGACTATGTTGAAAATTGTTCCTAAAGTTCCGCAATTTTGTTTTTTCACATTTCGTAACACATTGTAAGAAATCGCAATATCAGTGTACTTTTAGTAGATTGATAAATGTTTTATTATCAAAAAAGGATCTGTTATGAGACAGTAACATACTGAAGACAATAGTGGACGGTGGCGCAATTTCGTGAATTGGTTGAAGTTAGACATTAAAACCGTTGGATGCCGAGTCACTGGTCTAGAGGTTGAGCGTTCGCTCACGGGGCCGGTAGGTTATGTTCTCGAATTCCGCGGGGCATGATCGTGCATGCGCACTTCTGAGGAGTCCTATACTAGGACGGGGCGGTCGTCCAGTGCTTCCGGGTTCCTCACGGTGGTCTAGCTTCAATTGACTCATAAATTCAACTATTAAATGTTTTATTCCTTAATGAGATCTAGCGTATGTAACTTGACCTTTACTAGTAACCTCATGAATTAATCATCAACTAGTATAAATCTCATTATCTTATCAATCTAAACCTTTTATTTGATTAAATATATTCTCATAAACTATGTTTAAATTTTACAATTTAGTATTTATACTTCATTTATATTGTTATACCCTCTTCTTTTTGAATGAATAAAGTATAACGTTTAAACGATAACCATCTACATTTATTTTAATCTTACCATCATTTTGACATATTCTATGTTTTATATTAGTTATTTAAATGTAATAAGGGAATTAACTCTTATTCTTATGTAATCATATGCTTGTTATTCATATGAATTTATTGATATTTATCTGATTAAAAATAAATTGGGGTTATGTTTTCTTACAAACTATATCCAAGTGAAATATGATTGAACATCATAGTATATAGAAAATTGTTTCTTTTTAGTTTGAGGAACTCCATCATTACACTTTGTTAAATACATAAATTTTTATAAACTTTTAGTGATTGTGAAAAAAACGGAATCTTAACTACTATATAGTAACCATGAAAAATTAATTTCTACGTTTAGCACTCAATGATAAAGTATTATGTAATACTGAAAGTCAACTCCGCCTGGAGTCCTTCCGGGGGCTACTGCCGGTCCCAAGCCCGGATAAAGGAGGAGGGTTGGGCATGGGGTTGGCGTCCCCATCCCGTAGAAAACTAACCCGCTAAAACAACGCTAACCAGAAAAAGTTATTCAAACCTTTTAAACTCTGCCCCGGGAGTCAGAAGGTCTTCATTTAGAAGAACTATGACGCCTCATGATGAAAGCCGAATTCCTTTGGAAGTTACGAGGCCGATGCCCCTTCTGACAACCAGAGCGACCATTTATTTAGGTACATGGGATGTTCGTACAATGTGGGACACCGGGAGAGCCTTCCGAATTGCTGCAGAAATGAGAAGATACAACCTAGAGGTATTTGGGATCAGTGAAACACATTGGACGCAAGTTGGACAACAACGACTAACTTCAGGAGAGCTTCTGTTATACTCCGGACATGAAGAAGAAGCCCCACATACACAAGGAGTTGCACTGATGCTGTCCAAACAAGCACTAAATGCACTTATAGGATGGAAATCTCATGGACCAAGGATCATCAAAGCCTCAATCAAAACAAAGAAAGAGGGCATTTCAATGAACATCATCCAATGCTATGCGCCTACCAACGATTACAATGAAGACGCTAAAGATTAATTCTACGATAGGCTACAGTCAATCATCGCTAAGTGACCTGACCATTCTGATGGGAGATTTCAATGCAAAGGTTGGAACGGACAACACCGGATATGAAGACATCATGGGACGACAAGGACTGGGAGAAAGGAACGAAAATGGTGAGAGATTCGCAAACCTATGTGCCTTCAATAAACTGGTCATAGGCGGCATCATATTCCCATACAAACGCATTCACAAAACCACATGGACTTCAC